GCTATATTAATTCAAATTGTTCATACGTAATTCGTGCGCATAAAAACATAGCTGTCAACCATTATCATTCAAAAGTGATGTGAGTTTTATTTGAAGTTTTTCACAAAAGCTAATTTTTTATGCACAAAAATGCATCCGTAAATGTAAATATTTGTATGTAAATGAGTATTTATTATATAATCTATTAACTTCAAAAGTTATTGTATTGTTGTTGTGTTTTACTAAATTACAACACCCGGCAGTATTAATAGAAAGCGCAGAACTCACAGGAATCGAAAAATTAATTTAAAATGGCTCGTCCTCCACTCAACGCATTTGTAAATGCGCTACAATGGAAGATTTTATTCGAAGCAGAGCTATAACCGGCAATAGGGTAGCAAAAGACATCTAAAATGGGAGAGAGAATAGTCCAAATCATAAACATATTACAAGTTTAACAGTAGTCTTTTTGAACTTCCAAATACACTTCCACAAACACTTCGTCAAACACCGAAATGCAGAGGCACCAGTCCGATTTATAGAAATAAATTAAATATTCCAAAACTTACGCGGACCGTCTGCCGTAAGCGCACCGCAGTTTTAGCAAAAAATATAAATTTTTTTTAATTTGCTGCCGCAGTTTGGCATGCAATGTAGTTTTTAAAATCTATTTTCACCTGCAACCCTCTACCCCTCCTTTGTATGCAGTCACTAAAGCTATTTGTTTGTATGCACATAAGCCGAATGTGGCGACTGCCTGTTTGCTCGTAAATTTGTTGTTGTGTAAATTGGCTTGTAGCCGCGTATGACTCGATTTGCTGCTGATCGCTGTGTAAATATTTGTCACCTATACGCTCTATTGCCCAGGAAATTCAGCTTACACTTGCCGCATACATTCTCACCAATACTCGTTTTCACATGCTAGCATATGCATATGTACGCGTGCGTGTATGCACATGCGAGTCCACACAATTTCGGCAGTCAATATTGTCTTCACACAAACAAAATTTAATGATTAAGCCAATATTGGTTGAGAACTTGGTGGAATAAAGTCCAAAAAATTTTGCTTTCATTGAAATCGAAAAAATCCACATGAATATTTGCTCACAATTAGGTAATGCGCATCACCAATACCACTGAATCATCTGATAAATATATAAAATCCCCAAATATAAATATGAGGTTAGAATATTATCCATATTTCCGTATCGATAACAATTTATTGTATGAGTTTTTTACGATGTTTTCCTGAGTTTCACTGTATAACCATATGATCAGTTTGAATATATTATATAACATTACAGCTATGACTTGTATTCTAACTACATAATTAATGAACTGCTATTCTTCGTAGCCCATATAAATATTTTCTCTATGCACTACTTTTTACATTGTTGTGCAGGTTTATTTTAAATTTACAATTCAACGTTTCTTCAACAAATGAGCAAACGGACGTGATGAAATGCTCCGACAACTTGATGCACCGACCAGCCCACTTTAGAGAAAACTGCAACACGACCATTTTGCTTGCATCTCATGCAGCTTGGCGAAGATTTATTGCATTCAACGTTTCAGATTGTTGATTTCAGTTTATTTGCAATGCAAAGTAGCTTATAAACATGCGCATTTCACCAGAACATATGCAGTAATAAATAAATTTGCAGAAGAGCAAACTTACTACCTAAATGTTTGTTGCATCCCCACATAGAAAACGTAATTAATTGCAAACCCTTACTGCATCTCTTAAAAAGAGAGCAGCGTTACAAACTCTACTCTCCAAATGTGTACGTGACAACAAGGATGCCCTCGGCGGATCGCAAGTATCAAATCAAAGTTTTTAAAAAGCCGCTCCCTTTTAGCTAATGGTAAGTCGATGTTTTAAAAAATTTCCCCGATGGCCGTTTTTTACCTGTCATTTTTAGGTAAACTAAATATAAGCAAGTAAGAAAGGTCTAAGTTCGGGTGTAAGCAAACATTTCATACTCTGGCAACTTGCAAGGAAAAAAGGCGGAGGAACACCTTCAGGTTTTGGCAAAACTTTATATCAAACTAAGGAAAGTATCGCCGTGATTTCATCCATTTAAGGAAAGAGGATACACTGTTATTAGAAAAAGATTATTTCTGAATTTCATTAAGATTTATTACATACTGACCGATAGATGCGGTATAAAGTGAACCGGAGGTTCGAAAATACTTGTATTTATGTTAAGTATGTATGGGGGTTAAGGGAAGTTTTGACCCGATAACTTTAATGATGTTTGATTTTTTTATACTGTATATTTTTGTATACTGTAAAGTTAAAGAATCAGACGGAATTTAAAAGTTTGTTATATCTGAATTAGGCGTGGTTGTCAGCCACCCATTGTGGAGTGTATAATAGAAATGTTTGGCTAACCTCACACATCAAATTTGGTTGAAATCGGTCAAATAGTTCTGGAGATATAGAATTACACCTAAAAGTGGGCAGTGCAATGTCTCTTGTCCAATTGTCACACCAGATTCACCAGATCCTCCTTTGGGTACCAAGGAATATGTGTACCAACCTTCATCAAAAAATCTTAATTTTCGCTAAAGGTACAGCTTGCGCGGACAGACGGACGGACGGACAGACAGTCACAGGAATTCAACTCGCCTTGTCATCCTGATTATTTACACATGCATAACATTATATCTATCTCGATTAGTTTTAGGTGATAAAACCAACCGTTAGGTGAACAAAACTATTATACTCTATAGCAACAACATGAAAGGGTATTAAATTATAACATGCGGAAAAAATTTAATAATGATGGGATCATTTATCTCCGAGTAATCACGCGAGCAAATTTTAAAAATGTAGTTTTAGTTAAAAAAACAAGCTTAACGGTAAACAAATAGCTGATTGAACTGAGCGGATACTCTTTAGATGACTGTAACTCAAAAACTATTTGAGATATCGATTGGAATTTTCAGTATGTATGTTGTTTTTAAAGCAATCACCTATCGATTTATGAATTGTATACTAGCTGGGCCTTTTAAACAGTGCCCTATAATCAACTCTATCCAGTTCTGTTAATGATCAGTATTTTTATGAACTATGTACGATTTGTCATCGTGTCACTCTTTTCCAATCGATCTTGACTATTTTAAATAAAATAAAATTACAAACCATCTATTTCATTCGAGGTAAAAGTTTTACGCTTTTAAAATTCTGAAATACTTTTAGCAAACTTAAATGTTTAAATGTGAATAGGACCACTGCCATCCGAACTTAGTATTCTTATATTCATCCTGTGGTACATCGCCTGCTTAGCGATCCCTAAAGCAGTCAAAACACCTAAAATAATAAATTGTAATATATTTCCTCTACAGCAAACAACCGTTATATGAAATCATGCCAACTCAGGCAATACTCTTTTAATGAAATATCATTGAATTGGGTCATTCAAATTGCGAGCCTAATCAAATTTAATGATAATGAATTGCAAGAATTCGCTGATGACACGCATAAATTATAAAAGCTAAAATTACATTAATTATGCTCCGTTATTAGTAAAATTTCAGCATTGATTATTTCGGTGAAAAGGTAGTCCATCAAATAAATTATGCTTATCAACAGCATGTTAACCACAATTACACCCAAAGCCCACCTAAACCGAATCTGAGTGTATATAAACGAATGTATACACATATACAGCTGAAATAACATACTTGTATGATGAGTAAGTAAATAAATTTTATTATTATACCCGGCAGCCTTTCTGTTGTTTCTTATCGTATACAGGAATCCAGATATGAACTTTAAAGAGAAAAGATGAACAGTTAAAGTCCAATCCCCAAACAACAATTCTTGCAGTTACAGCTAGATTTAATAACGGTACAAAACTTTCATCCAACGAAATAGAACAGAAATCGTCGGAAGAATATTGATTAGGGTGGAACGAAAAAAAGTCCTTTTTTTGCTTAGCCTGAGCGTAAAATTTTTAGATTATACAATGAAAAACGAAAAATTTTGAAAAAAACATTTCACATTTATATAAAAATTACCGAATTTGGCGGTTTTTGACTCAAATTTTATTTTAACGCTGAAGGAAAGCATGTTGCCGTTTTAGACTTTTTTTAAAACTCTAATAATGACCACAAAATTATCTTTTAAGTTGATAACTTTTAATTGGTCAGGAAGAGGACTCTCCACAGCCTCTAAAACACTTATCAAAAATTTTTTACGAAATAAAACTTTTAACTTTACCTAGATGTTAAAAAAATGTTTTTTTCCAAAAATTTTCTTTTTTTATAATCTACAAAATTTTACCCTCTCCACTCTAATTGGTTAATTCATGTCAGTTGAGAAATAATAAAGGCCCAAATATAAATATAAACCAATATCTATAATATTTTAAGTTGTTGCACAACAATCAATTGAACAATATGATAATACCTATGCACATTACGTAACACCCGGGTACAAAAATTAGAAATTAAAAAATATGCTGCTAAGGTGAGCATATTTTAAAGAAATTTCTATTTTTTTTTTACTTGAATATAATATCTTTGTTACGCTTCATGGCTTGACAAAGCAAAATATTGGAATTATTATTTTGTGATATTATGTAATAAATGAATAAAGTTATCGGAAAATAAATATTCACACGACTCCATGCTTCTATGTTAATCGGTAATCAGTTGATGTGAGTTGAGTTTTAATCAAGAGAAGCTCGTCCTCAATTCCATTCTATCTTTTCTTAGTGCACCTTAAGTTAATTTCGTTCTAACTGTTTACTACACCCCTCGGCTTATAAAGGTCGTTGCCGAAGAACAAGTTCCACAAGCAGTAGGTCCATTTTGAAAATTTATTAGCAAAAAACACAGCAGAATCTTCCATTTGGATTTTATACACGAATCAAATTGATAGCGAAAATCATTTTTTAAAATTTCGCCTCAGAGAATGACAGCAGAACAGGTTCATTACAATACTGCATCTCAACTCTCGCCACAACACTTTTAAGAATCTAATTATTCAACGTCGAAATGTAAATTAATTATTAAATCATAATTTTGTAGTTCAAGCTGCATTAATTTATTGATCATAACTTGCACTTAAATATTGTTTCTTGTTTGTCACAGGCTCAATATAATAATCTCCCGATAAAATTAATGAAAAATAATTGTAAACATAAAAATTAAATTCACGTTATCACCGAATCAGCAGCTCAGTTAGCCATATAAGTAGTAGGGAAGGCCATAACTGTAGGTCGGCTTGTAGTAGTAGTAGGGTCTGTAAGTGTAGTAGCTGTAAGGATAATAGTAGGGATAGCCGCCATAATAATGACCATAGCCACCATAACCACCATATGGAAATATAACTTGGCGTGTCTGGCGACTACCACTCGCCTTCTCGTCCCTCTCCGCAACTCCAACATCACCTGCAGCTGCTGATGGTGACTCCAACTTATCAGCATTTAGCAGACTATGCATTGACTTCTGTTCTTGCATCACAACGCTGCTGGCAGCCGGTGAAGTGCCGGCAATATTATCCATGAGTCCGGAAACAGCAGGCTGCGCATTGGCTTCGATGGTTCGACAGAAATTGAAAAGGAAAAACACGATAACGAACGAGTTGCGTAAAATACGAATGACTTGCATTTTTCATGTTATAAACACGTCCTTTTCGAATTATTTGATTTTATTATTATTATTATTTTATTTTACGTATGTGTTAGAATGGTGTATTCCGGTAACCAAGCGTTCTTTGCGATCCACTAAACAGATCTAAATCTATTTATACGCTGCCCAGCCGGCATTAACAGTGCTTAAAACTCAAATAAACTTCAATTGGCAAGTAGGGACGCTATTTTGAATTAAAATGTCATAATGATATAATGACAGTTAGTTTGTAATTTGCATAGGTAGATATTAGCACCGACAGTGGCTTCCACTAATAGTCGGACAAAAGTTACACAATTTGAACGTAGTTTACAGATATTGAAAAATCTAGTAATCACTTCAACAGATAAACTATTTGTCATTATCAATTAGAAAAACTAATAATTGTAAGTATGCAAAAATATGTTCCATAAGAATGCATGAAGAGATAAAGATCTCTGATATTAACATCACTATTTAAAAGTTCCATAGTTTTATGCATTTACTTTTAACTAAGAATGCATGAAGAGATAAAGATCTCTGATATTAACATCACTATTTAAAAGTTCCATAGTTTTATGCATTTACTTTTAACTACATGGTATATTTTGTCCGAATATTTGTTGAAGACACTGCTCATATGAACCGCTACCCGTATCGAGGCAAATGCCAGATTGGTAAGTAATTGCATATTTCTGTGCTCGCAGGTGCGTGTATTATAATTAAATCTACTTTGCAATGAACCTGTTTCGTGATAAAGCGCACTGCCGTCGATATTTTAAAACATGAATGTAAACAAAACGAAGCGGCCTTAACCGTGAACTTGAACTGCGGCGCACGCCACCAACCACGGGTATTTGCATATACCCACACAAGTCATGGTTCATTGCACTGCATCGAAACAGTCATTGGAACACATTTTTATCAACGTACTGTCCACCGTATCCCAATATTTATGTCATCATGACTTGCTTAAAGTAAAACTTTGTACTCTCCCTAATTAAACGTAGAAAATTTTAGTAATATTTATAATTATAAAATTTTCCAAAATTTTTTTGACTACTAATGGTATCTAGAAAATACCTTAATTCACGGAAATTTGGCCTATTCTTTAGTATAAGTTGAAGAATTTGAAAGATATTTTTATGAGGATAAACAGAATGTCTAAGATAAATAGACATAATAAAATTTCTAAATGTAGTGCTTGCGCGTGATCTTCAATACACAGTTGACCCTAACTTAAAAAATTTTCTAACAAGCGAAATTCTATAGGTTGCTTAGTTTAGAGATATATATTAAGACGTTTTTATTTTGTATTTTACACGATATACTGTGGAGATACTAGAGATAAAGTTAATTTAGAGAACCGGCCTATGCAATGCGAGCAAGAATATCGACCTCCTGGGATTATACTTTTAGTATAAGTTCAGAAGAACGAAAGTGCATCTCTAATTTGTTTGATCCTATGTGCCACACTTAAGAAAATAACATAAAGTGAGATAATAGCAAATATATCTGAATAAAGAGGTAAATACAATCAAAAAGTGCCTCCTGCCTGAAATCGAACAAGTCAGATAGAGCTCAAATTCAAATAAAAGAATCAATTCAGTAATGCTCTAATTGACAAGAAAGAATAGACGCTTTCTATTTGGTTCACAGAAATGTTTTACGTAGAAAACATAATTAAAATTGGACAATCTGAGACTGCCAAATAATTGTTTGTCATGTCTTAAGTTAAATTTATTAACGAAGTTCTTACTTCTTTTGCTTTAGTCGAAAGCACTGCTCCATAATGAACTAGACATTTTTTGTATATATTGAACAGTTATGAAACTGGTATATATCTAGTGTTATATAGCTACATATATATAAGGTAGTATTAAGTCCAGCAGATTATATACATTTTTTCTAACTACAACAACAAGTTTCGTATAGCGTAAACAAACTCTATAGTAAATAAAAACAAAACAAACCAATTTAACTTAAACGCTCAAACCTGTCTCAGCGGTTTACAAATGTAGGTAGGTCTAGTCAGCATGATATGTTGGGCTGGGCTGCCAGCATTATCAGCAGCAACACTGACCAGATTGTTCTGGACGTCATAGAAGCACAAATAACAAATGTTACAGAGAAGAATCATAAACTGAAAGTGAATATACACATCGACATCATTTCTTTTTGAAAAGAGATAAACAATGAATTTAAAAACGTGTTCATTTGGAGCTGCTAAATACTTTTTTATGTGTGTGGTCCTCATCAATACTAATGATATAAAGAAGTGAAAAAACATATATACTATTTGTGTGTTTATCACTGTAGAATGATAAATGACTTTTTATATTCTTATATGGATTTGTATATTTCTTTTTCTGCTCTTCGGTTGAAATGGAAAATTACACCCAGAACAAGTTTAAAGTCAAATATTTTATATTTTCGGTTTGGTTTGTAAAATGTTAAGTGCTGCTCGAAGTCTGTAATATCAGATTTCTAATCGTTCAGTTTGCTACAATTTTAAGTCAATTCAGTTGGCTGACGAAATGAGCAATTTTGTGCTGAACTCGCCTACAAAGAATTTTTCGCGAAGCGAATTTCCATATATAGTAAAATTCTCTGCTGCTGTTCTATCACACCTCACCCAGAACAGCCTATTTGCTTTCAGATTCACCCGCATTAGTGGTTTGGTGCCATACTCTTATCATCGCTTAATAATAATTCCTTTCAAGTACTATCCCTTTGTTTCTTACACCTTAGCTCTGGTTAAACTCATTTCTCTGATTAATTCAAATCAAAGTCCAAACTACCGTAAAAACACAGCGAAATATCAAATATAAATGTGGCAAGTTATAAATGGCAATCATTAGAGCAATGATTAAATCATAATTAAATTGGACTGAAAATGCTGATTTACACTTATTATCAAACTTTTGATTTCCCATCAGTGTTGTCCATAATAATAGCACAGGTATGAATTTTAGTTACATAAGGGCCTTACCTAAATTTGGGTTGAATTTAAGTTTTCCAATATTAGCGGCAATCTGAAGCTGAATTTTGATTTTTCGCGAGCTGTGTGCATACGATTATCGATATTTTGTTTTTGTTATAATCGGACACTTATGTTAATTATGTGCTTGCATTAGGAGCAAATTTCGACTAGTAGTTTGCTTTTATCAACAGAAAAGGTGAGTCACGTTTTTGTGTGCTCTTCGAGTTTTGGCTTTTGAAATGAATGGATAAATGGAATAAAGTGCGCCAAGCCACTTGAAATGTTGACTGTGGAATTCGTTGAGTCCGCTTTATCTCAAAGCACAAGCGCTTTACAGAAGACCGAGAAGATGTTGATGACGATGAGCATCCTGAAAGTGCGACCACATCAACAAGCGAAGAAAACATCGAAACAGTGAAAAAGTTGTTCTTGAAAATCGTCCAATCACTATTAGGGAAGTTGCAAAGGATGTTGGTATATCAATCGGCTCATGCATTAAATTTTCTCGAATGTTTTGGGCATGAAACGTGTGGCAGCGAAGTTTGTTCCGAAATTGCTAAATTTTGAGCGAGAACAATGTCGCATTATTAATGATGCAGCAACCACCGTACTCACCAGATTTGGCGCCCTGCGACTTTTTCCCATTTTCAAAACTGAAGAAACCAAAGAAAGGAAAGTGTTTTGCCACAATTGATGAGATCAAGTTAAAATCGAGGATCTAGGATTGGAAAAAGCGTTGGCACAAGTGTATTATATCCGAGGGAGATTACCTTAAAGGAAACAAAATAGGTATTGATGAATAAATAAGTACTTTTCAAATAAATTCAAAATTCAACTTTTCCTTTGAACACACCTCGTAGTCCTGACACAAATGACTTCAATAATAATTTCTCGGTAAGATCAGCTTTTCACTCATTTTTGTTTAGAAATATGGGTATCAAATTTTGGAAAGCGAAAAAATTTTAGAAACTTTAAATAAATATAATGTAATGGTAGGTTTTAAATTTAGGCATAGATAATTCACTTCAGCCGATATATATATTTTCAAAATTTCATCAAATTTGTGGACTAAAATTTAACCACCCTAATAAAAAATAGTTTTGCTGAGCGAATAGAAAGCAAGAAGATGAAAGATTTTTCATATGTTCTAAGTAAATTGAAAAGTTTTTCTGCTACATCAACAAATATAACAAACACACACGCGCCGCAATAAAAAAAGATTGAATGGAGTACAGCTCAGGACTGCGAAAGTTTATCAGATAATAAGATGAACATCATCAAAAGTAATATGCGTAAGCAGCTAGATATTCGAGACTTCGCTGGTATTAATTATGCCAACAGCAACAACACAGCACCGAAAGCAAGCACTTCAGCTTCAGCGAATAAGGCGAATGAAGCATTGCGCCTAGGTGGCTGAGTCATTCAATCAGCACCAGCTTCTGCCACAAACATATGGTTGTATGAGTGTCTGCTTACAAGTAGTTAAATATTTCTGCTGGTAGCTCGTGTTTGTACGTTTAACGGCAACCATTATACATGTGGCTCATGCAACAAATAAGTTATAAATCCCAGATGCTCGCAACTAAGCTAAAACTTTTGTGCCGCTTTTAATAGGCGTCGGCGCCACAAACAACCAAAATGCGATTACCGACGCCTGAAAATCGCTGAATGTGTACGCTCATGTATTGCCGCATGTGCAAGCCAAACTACAATGTAACTTGCCGCAATGTGTTGAAACAAAGTGTGTTCTTGCTGCCGATGACGCGACATCCATACTGCTGTTGTTGTTGTTGTTGGCTTACATCACACACCAACTGATAACTTGTATGCAAAAATTAATAAAATTGCGCCTAAAGTCGAAAAGTTATTAGCGTTTTGGGTATACGCAGACATTAAGTGAATGACATGTGGCCGTGGAGGTGTGCCGGATAGTGTAAATACAATGTTACGAATATGGATTTCGCTGAGAGAGGGATTACCATCATAAATGCCAGAACCGCAGTTCGTCGTCAGGTCGCGCAGATGAGTGCGGATCGGCACTCAAATACGCCTACATGGGCGCATGCGAGTTTATGGAAGTTAATGCGATAAATTCCAAGAGTTCTCTGCAGAGTTGCGAAATTTCGTTTTTGCCGTCTATTCTCAGCGGTATTTGCGTGATATTTTAGTTTGTTGCCGCCACTTATATGCATGTCTACATGCAGTTGTTATTGTTGTCGCTAGATTAGTTGAACACTGCTAATATTGTAAGCGTGTGCATAAATGACTTAAAATTATTAAATAATAATAAAGTTGAATTATGATACTAAATTGCCCTTATTACTGGCTTAGCTCCGCTTACACAACTTAAGCTCACCATGCATACTCACATACACACACATATGCCATACATAGGTGAACATGTGTGTCTGTGGCTGGCACCTTACTTTTCCAACATTTGGGCTGTCATTGTTAATAGAAAAGTTTTTGCTTACCTAAATCGAGTTAATTCCGTCTCTACGGATCAGTGAATTGCCAGTTTAACAACGCCATACATCTGTGTGTATGTTGGTATTCCCGTAGCAACATCAAATTATATTTTTGCTCTCCCATCTGACAGTATTCGTAAGAAAAATGCATTTGCCATTTTATGTTAATTAATTTCACACACTCTCAGGTTTTTGAGGTATTCAAGGTCATAGAGGATACATGTGTATATTGACTTCTTTGCAAGGGGATACTAAAAACAATGCTCCGTATTCATATCAAATATTAGTTAGTAGCTAATCAGGTATATAATCAAATCAGTAATTCAAAGGTAAACTTA